GAATTAAAAAACTGTTTGAAAATAGCAAACTATACTCTGTAGGCCAAATCCAGCCCAGGGCTTGTTTTTGTAAGGCTCTCAAGCTAAGAATGGCTTATAAAAAGTAAAAATAAAAAACCAAAGAATATGTAACAGAGACTGTATGTAGCCTGAGAGGCTAAAATATTTACTATCTGACCCTTTACAGAAAAGGTTTGCCTTGTTCTAAAGACATGTACCAAGATGTCTGCAGACGGAAGGATCCGGGGTCTGGGGTTTGCTCCGAGGGAGCAGGCAGAGGCGCAGAGGAAACAAGACTGGCTGCGAGCAGATGTGCAGAAGCTATGGGACAGGGCTCCTTATTCCCTTTTATGTTCATTATTCCTTTTCTATTCACTATTCCCTTTTTCACAAATGTTTGAAATTTTTCATAATAAAAATAGGGGAAAGGAAAATAATAAAAATAGGCCTAATAAATAATAATAAATAAATAATAAATAATAATAATAATAAATAATAAAAATTCAGCCTAATAAAAATAGGCTGAAAAGGAATAAAAGAGATGGCTCATTTGAAATGTCAGTGTGGTAGAGAACAATATCTGTTCTTCTTTACTGATAGATTTTTAGCAGGGCACGTGATTAACTTCTAGCCAATAAAATGTAAGCAGAAGTTTTTGTGAGGCCTTCTGAGAAACCTCCTTAAAAGTAGAAGGCACAAATTCCTACTCTTTCATCTTCCTCAGTGGCTGGAATGTTGCCATGATGGCTGAAGACCATGCAGCCTTTTTGAACCATGAGTTAGAATCCATGTGCTAAGGATGACAGGAAAGCAAGATGGGAGAAGAGTACTTTGCAAAAATGTCATACTAGCCCCAGACTGTCTTGTGAAAGACAAAAAGTTTTATTTTTTTTTATTTATTTATTTTTTTTTTTGAGACAGAGTCTCACTTTGTTGCCTAGGCTAGAGTGAGTGCCATGGCGTCAGCCTAGCTCACAGCAACCTCAAACTCCTGGCTCAAGCAATCCTTCTGCCTCAGCCTCCCAAGTAGCTGGGACTACAGGCATGTGCCACCATGCCCGGCTAATTTTTTCTATATATATTAGTTGGCCAATTAATTTCTTTCTATTTATAGTAGAGACAGGGTCTCGCTCTTGCTCAGGCTGGTTTCGAACTCCTGACCTTGAGCAATCCGCCCGCCTCGGCCTCCCAGAGAGCTAGGATTACAGGCGTGAGCCACCTCGCCCGGCCAAAATAAAGTTTTATTTTTTAAATGCCACTATTGTTTGGGTTTTCTTGCAGTCAAGCCTAATCCTAAATGCTATAGTCAGAAAAGCATTTTTTAAAAAATATTCCTGTTATATGAGTTTGAGTCTGATATACAAGTCTGGTTTTGAGTGATGATGGTTAAATGAAGGAACTGTAGGTATTCCACAAAGTTTCTTGCCAAGGTTATCAGTGTAAGGCTTTTTTTTTCCCCTTAATTATGAAAACTTTGTTGTGTGTGTGTGGTTGGAGGTTAGGGACAGACAGTCTCTCGGCTGGAGATGGGAAATCCACAAGGGAGCTCTGACCTTCCTAGAAGATCTGCAAAGAGAGCAACCAGAGCCCGAGGAGACAAGTAAGGAGTTATATGGCTGAGACAAGAGACAAAGGCAAAACTAGTTGGGGTGCTAGTTTCAACAGATCAAACTGGGGTATCTCTTTGCCCTTGCATGGCTCAGTTCCCCAGCATCCAGGTGCTAGGCTGGGCATGGTTCTTAGAGGAAAAAAGTGAGGCCTTTAAATTCCTCAGAGACTTCCTTGCTCTGAGAGTCACCAGCACCTCTGAGCCAAGACTCCCGCTGGAAAAGCAGCCCCGGGGCCAGATCAGGTCACAGAAGTCTGAGTTTTGGCCTGAGACTTGCGAGCATACCTCAAAAAGAGCCATAATCATTGCCAAGGCCGGCTGGTGTGAGCTGTTCTATGGCGGACAGTACTCTCCCACTGCACACGGGCACCTAAGCACGACAGGTACTCTATGTAAATTATCTTCCTTTGTCTTTCCTCAAATCTTCAGGTGAGTATTTTTAAAGCCTACTTGAAACTCAGAGAAGTAACTTTCCCAAAGTTACACAGCTAACGAGTGGCATTTATGTGGTGGTTTAAATGATAAATGGTACTACCCATATAGGGACAAAAACAAAGTAATCTGTTTTAAAACATTTGTTCAAGCCCTCCCCCCCCAAAAAAAAAGATTCCCTTTAATGACTGAGTCACTTGAAAGATGATAAGTCAGTTTAAAGGACATGCTGACATTTCTCCTCCAAGTGGGGTGAAGACACCCTCTGAATGTACTTCATTTCTGCCGTCCTGGCCCCTCTCAGCTAGGCGAGGCTCTTTCACGCCACCTGGACACAGGCTTCTAAGGTGTCCCTGGCCTGATGGGGACAGTGAGAAGCTGGAAGCCAGCTGGCTTGGAAGTGGGAGCACAGAGAACCCTTTTTTCTGTGGGAGGCAGCTGAGGGTGGCACAGTGCACTGGGTCTGGGAGTCCAGCAGGCCGGGTGTAAATCGTAACCTTGTTACAGACTACTGGTCTGAGCCTCAGTTTCCATACCCGTGAAGGGGGCCTACCTTGGAGGACTGTTATGAGTATTAAGTCTGGGTAATATACAAAAAGCACCCAGTAAACATTAGCTATTATTACAATTAGATATTAATAACAAATGCTTATAACATCATAGTGTCTCGATCACCTCACTGCCTTTACTGACTCCAGCACAAAAAGATCCCAGTCATAGGTCAATTCTGCCCATTCTCTAGGCACTGGCCTGTCTCTTCCCTGGGGAAGTATCTCTGACCACCCTGAAAAAGGACTATCGTCTGTACACGCTCATAATACCACATGCTATTTTTCCTTGGTAGCACTATACTATGTAACCGTACATTTTTGTTCGTTGTCCTTTTGCCTCCCCCATTTGTGGCTCCATAAGGTCAGGGCTGTGCCAGTCTTGTTCATCTTTATAGTCCCAATTATTTCATAGTGCCCGGCACAAGAAAGTTCTCGTTAAATGATTCCTTAATAAATGAAACAAAATTGAATTTATAGAGTTCCTCACCTAGACAGTCTTTGTTGTGGTTAAAATATTTTTAAAACAATTATGGAAAAGTTATTTGTTCTCAGACATTGACAGGTTCATAATATATAGGTTTCTTTTTTTTTTTTTTTTATCCCGGTTGCTTTGAAAAAAATCAAAGACGTTTTTCTTTCAGACGTGGCTTTCAACCAATACAGTGGTGCTTTAATGATTCCACAAAGGAAATCTACTTGGGACTGTCACAAAGCTTTGTGTGTGGAAACTCCATCTCCTCTGTTTTGGCTGTTCTAACTTGTTTTGAACATCTCATCGGAATCAGTTTGGTAGAAGGAAACCTTAACAAAGTCACCTGAAAAATAAGTTTTCAATAACAATATTTCCAGAAGCCCTGACAGGAATAGCAAGGGTGGGTGAGCCAGAAATACACGAGTTTGCCAGCGAAGTATGGCCCAGGTCACATCTCATTCTGCCCTGCTGACCTCAAAGAGCCATCATGAGGACCAAAGAGGATGATGTATGTGACTGTACTTCAAATTCTGGAAAGTGACATCAGGTCTTATGACAACAGCCACCCTGGGCTACACTGTTAGGCCTCACTGTCCTGAACAGAAAATGTAGGACCTAATAACTTTTTGCAATGAAAAAGACACAGGGGCTCTCAAAGGAAAATACCGATGCCACCCAGCTGAGCCTCCTCTGAATGAACTCGCGTCCCAGCAGACACGCCGGCCTCCACGCACACGGTGCCGGAGGCGTGGAGCCACCTACACTTTCAGGCTCACACACATTCCATTCTGGAGTAATCTGTAACGCCAAACCATGCTTTCCTAGCTTCTCTCTGCAATGTAAACCCTCTGGAGGTCCTTATTCTACTCTCAGAGCTTCTGGGGAATGTCAAGCCAAGGAGGCAGCTTTCAGGAATTGTTGGCGTGGTTGAGTGGAGAAGGAACTTTTCTTGACCTAGGGTAGGTCCCTCAGCTATAATTTTGGACTGAAGGGTCTAGAATGAAAGGGGACAAGGTTTTTTTCAAGCCAAAAGATCTATTAACAAGGCATGCATCTAGCACTACATAATTAATAACACACAGCAGCCAAGGCCTTGTTCTAAGAGCATCGTATGTACTCATTATATGACCCATTTAACCGTTCCTCCAACCCTGTGACGCACAGTGCTATTATTATAGCTATCTTATTGATGCAGTAACTAAGATGTAGAATAGCTGAGTAATTGCTCAGATTCACAGACTGGTAAGTGGTGAACTCAGGATTCAAACCTAGCCAGGCCCCAAGCTAGTGCCCTTTCCATCACATCTGGCCTCTCTTAACGGCAAGGTTCCACTTGCCTGTTGGTCACAGCCCTGGTGCTGGCCAAAGGCCCTCACCTGCTTCATGTCCTATATCCTGTCTTGCTCCTCACCACCAGTACTTATTTTCTCAACTAGGGTTTGTCCCCCACCCGAATTTCAGATCCTCCATGGCCTTTGCTTCCTATCTTAACTATGATCCATAACTTCCTATTATAGACAGTTACACTTCTTACTCATCTCAATCTTGCTTTTTTCCAAGAATCCCAAAAGTTCCTGGGACATGAAAGGTACAGTTGACATGCCGGGAGTATTGCTTAGTCAATGCAGAAGGGATCCCTGCAGCACTCTGTCTAGCTGGCAAGCACACGCAGCCAGGGCTGGGACACAAAGACTCTCTGAAGATTTAACACGATGCTCAGTGAGGGCCAGCTGCTCCAGGCAGCCTTCTAAACCGTCTGGACGAGTACTCCAAGGGCTCCTACGAGCCATTTGCTCCAGTCCTGAGAGAAATAAGTAGTTATCAAATAGAGCACACAACACTGGAGATGCTGGAAGACATTCCTTCTCCTGTGTTATGGTGAGGAACAAATTCTTATGTGATAAACGCCCAGCAGGCCGGAGACCTGAGCAGGTACCTTCACTCCGTCCAGCACAGCCTTGATGACGCCCTTCACGGTGGTCACCATCTCTTTATCTTCCGAGTTCACTCCTTCCAGCATCACTTGGTCAGACCAACGGATGAGGTTGGCAAGACTTTGGTACACACGGCTATAGCAGGAGGAGAGGGCTGAGCTACAGGGAAGAGATTTTTTAAAAGAATGTTAAAAAAATCTAAAGCATGACCATCATGTTAAGATATCCACTTAGCCACTTTCTCAGTGACTAAGGCATGTTTCTCAATCTTTCTTTTTGTAAAATTTACACCTTCTTTTAATAAACAAACCTTTTCTCCCCTGGGCCTTTCTCCTTACATCCAACAAAACATTTTGTGGAGCTTTACATTCTAATTTGTGTTATAAAATTGTTTTCATTTCGCAAATATAACAAATGTTCCATCACGACAGTTAACGTGCCTTTTCCCACTTAACATCCCTCTGTGAGATTCTGGTGACATCTCTCAAGGAGCCATGTCTTCCCGCCTCCAGGCTGCTGGTCACCAGACGAGGTCAGAGCATCGTGTACTTGTTATGAATTAGACTAAAATTCATTTTAGACGTGTCACAGGGAGCCAACAGGTTTTAAAATTTAAATTCCAACAGGAATTTTAATGGCATATTCCTTTAAAGGAAGAGCCACGAGCTCAGAACAGACATGTAGTCTATTCAAATTCCTCCTAATATGGGCTCAGCCTCACCATCCTCACACTGTAACCGAGGCTGAGGTTGCAGCAACGCACTAGCGGAGACTGTTTTGAGAACAACAAACCAGAGGCGAGATGACTTGTGATGGTGGTCGGGGTATGCATGTGCGTGTGCATGAAAGGTACCAGCTACCAGCTACGCTGTGTTGCCAGTGAGTGTATGTGTGTGTGTGGTATGTGTGTAAGGTACCAGCTACCAGCTATGCTGTGTTGCCAACACACACAAACAGAAGCCCAGAGCACTTTGGGAGTGCCTCAGTGATTATAGAGTAGTAGCCGAAACAAAGAATTTTTACATCTTTCGCATACTTTCAAATAGCTAAAGATAATTTTCCCTAGGAATTCTGGAAAGAATTATTTTTCCATTTTAAATATTATGCATTATAACAGAGCAAGAACAAAAATATAGAAAATGTACATGCCGCACCTCCTCCACTCCGAAAAAAGAAAAATGAGGCAGACATTTAGGAGCCAAAGGTATGTTAATAGTTTTGAGGAAAATATATAATACTGTAAAACATAATTAAAAGAGGTTCTACAAACAAAGCCATTTAAAACAAAAACCTGAACCAAACAGTGCTCTAATGAGAAACTCTTCAGAATCACACAAGGAGGGAATCACACAAGAGATTTTTCCGAGATGGAAAGTTTCCACTTAGCCTGCGGTCCCACTCTGCGCGCTCCAACAGGAGAAAAGAAGGGTGAGAGGGAATGAAAGCAAACTGCTCAAGCCCACTAGAAACAAAAAATGTTTAAAAGGAGCTCTGAGAAAGCCAGGGCTGGGCTGTTTCTGGGGATAACACAAATGAAAGCACTCAAGTGTTGGATCTATTCTCTCAGGAAGGAGGGCTGAGGGGGGAAACAAAAACTCTGCAGCCCGGAGAGGCGGGGGCTGGATCGCAGCTGATGTCTTCCTGCAGGGAATGTGCTTCTGGCAACTGGACAGACCCTGCCCTTCCTGGCAAGGCCAGGTGAGGCCTCTTTGTTACTTATTTGTTTGGTTGTTTTTTTTTTGAGACAGAGTCTCACTTTGTTGCCCAGGCTAGAGTGAGTGCCATGGCGTCAGCCTAGCTCACAGCAACCTCAAACTCCTGGCTCAATCCTGCCTCAGCCTCCCAAGTAGCTGGGACTACAGGCATGCATCACCATGCCCGGCTAATTTTTTCTATATATATTAGTTGGCCAATTAATTTCTTTCTATTTATAGTAGAGACAGGTCTTGCTCTTGCTCAGGCTAGTTTCGAACTCCTGACCTCGAGCAATCCGCCCGCCTTGGCCTCCCAGAGAGCTAGGATTACAGGCGTGAGCCACCAAGCCCGGCCGTGTTTGGTTTTTTTTTTAGATGAGGCCTCACTCTGTCACCCAGGTTGGAGTGCAGTGGGGTGACCATAGCTCACTGCAGCCTCAGACTCCTGGGATCAGCTCCCGCCTTGCTTCCCAAAGTACTGGGATTACAGGCGTGAGCCGCTGTGGGTGAGGCCTCTTTAACGAACACTGCTGCCTTCCACCGATGTGCCCACGGCGGATTCCACCAAAGCATCCCACTGTTAAACTACTGGCAATAGCGAGATGAAAAACAAGAGGAAATACTTTTATTTAATATGTAATTTCTCCCCTGTGCTGGATGCTAAAGTTTCTCTGAAGGCACTTAAAGAATGTGACAATATGTTCACCCTTCCCATTATTAGCTTGGAAACAGAATACTCGTGTGTCGGCCGGGCGTGGTGGCTCAAGCCTGTAATCCTAGCACTCTGGGAGGCCGAGGCGGGCGGATTGCTCGAGGTCAGGAGTTTGAAACCAGTCTGAGCAAGAGCAAGACCCCGTCTCTACTATAAATAGAAAGAAATTAATTGGCCAACTAATATATATATATAAATTAGCCAGGCATAGTGGCACATGCCTATAGTCCCAGCTACTCGGGAGGCTGAGGCAGGAGGATTGCTTGAGCCCAGGAGTTTGAGGTTGCTGTGAGCTAGGCTGACGCCACGGCACTCACTCTAGCCTGGGCAACAAGCGAGACTCTGTCTCAAAAAAAAAAAAAAAGAATACTCATGTGTCAAAGGGACAAGATGTAAGAAAGGAAGGAGGGTTCAGTACTATAAAAACGCTGCCCAGAGGCTTGCCTGCTGGCTTATTTATGCAACAGCGCAGAGCTCCCGTGATGGCCGGCACGGCTCGCGCTCTCACATGGGAGAATCCTCCAGTCGTGGCTCAAACTAAAGAGCCAGCTGCCTGTTCGAGGCCAGTCCATCACCATCCTAGAAACCGAGGAGAGGGCGGCAAAGGTCTGCCTGCGAGGGCCCAGCCACAGAAGGGGCAGGGAAAGACCTTCATAAGCTGCACTTAGGGAGGAAAGACACAAGGAAAAGAATGTAAAAGGAATATTCGAGGAGTATTTTCAATGATTTCGGGGACATCAAGAAAAATATCACCAGCACTGAGCCCTTCTAAGAGCTGGGAACTGGACCGATGACAGGGAAGACAGCAGTGGGCTCAGCCACACGCATGCTTCTTCCTTCCTCACCCACCAGCGCCAGAGAGCTCCTTGCCAAAGACCACGTGCAGGGGGCGGCTGAAACTCTAGCGTGGAAGCCCCAGGGCAGAGAGTTTCTCGGAAATAAAGACACTATTTGCTTTATCTCCCAGAAGAAGAAAACTATGAACTTTACTGCCAAGTTCTGAAAGCAGGTCATAAAAGCTTAGCCTCATGGGGCTAAATGAACACCAAGCCATCTTAAGGAATTAAAACAGAGATGCATTTATCCCGAACAGGTATCACAGAAGCAAAACAAAAAAATCTGCCAGCCTCTTAAGAAAAAGCTCCTGCTAGGCTTTCATTTCAAATTACATTTAATATTGCTTTTCTTTTTACATTTAGCAATAAATATGGGACAAGCTTCTCACTAACCTTTAAGAGGAAAATGCACCCAAACAGTGAAAGCATTACCCAACAAAAGCTTCCTGGGGCAAAGGCTCACTCCATGCCCCTGCAGTGAGTGCTTATAATTTTATGTTGTCTCAGCATCTATTTTTAAATTGTTGAACTTTCTCACACCAGAAGTAGGGCTGAAGAACTCTTGACAAGTTTCAACTGGGCTGGGTGCAGTGGCTCGTACCTGTAATCCTAGCACTCTGGGAGGCCGAGGTGGGGGGGATTGCTCAAGGTCAGGAGTTCGAAACCAACAACCACACCCCATCCCAGTGCCTCCAGGCAGTGGCCAGAGATAAAAACTTAGAGGCATTTCTCATCCTGCACAGGCTGGGCTCCCTGCTTCCCCACCGCTTCTTTTAAGGGGACCATGGAGACATTCGCCCCAGAACTTAAAGTGACCTCTCAGTAACAGCGTGACCTCCTGGAACTAGTGACTATTTTAAACCCACCAATTAAAGCTCCCTGAAAGAAACCTGTGTGGATAACAGCCTGGACCCAATAAAGGCACAGGCCCATGGGGTCTCTTCTCACCCCGCTGCCTGTGCTCCCTGACCTCCATGTGTGGCTTCCAGGCTGCTGTGTACCCCTCAGATCTAAAGTATTTCATACTAAAAAACTCCTGAACTCCCACATTATGGTTGTGTCACTGAAGCCAGGCCTACAGTCCATCTCTGAGGGTAAGGCCCACCAGGAGACCCATGCAGGTGGGACCCCTGCTCTTCTGCCTGGGTCTCTGGTGGCTATTGGACACTCAAAAGAGCTTCATTCAAAGCAGCCCCCTCCCCTGCTTCCAGTGAAGCCAGGCACTGTTTGGAAGGTATCCCAGCTCGACCAGTTAAGCATTGCAGCACCCCTGCTCTAATGGGGTTCTTGTCTACCTCTTTTGCCCTGATCACCTAAGCAGCTGAGGAATGCAACAGCTAGATACTGATAAGACCAAATATGTCAGGTGGCTGAGGGTACTAGGAGAAATGCCCGAACCAATTCGATTATCACTGATGAGCTAATGCAAAGAAATGACCACAAACTCATACTGTGGCCATGTCCCTGTGGCTAGAGAGATCTGCCTCAGGGTCGAGGCTTCAGGAGTAACTATGACATCAACCCTGCGATGGCACCAAGGATAGCTGTGTTGGAGCGAGGGGTTGAAGGGTGGACACCTCTTCCTAACTGTTCCTAGAAATCTCTAGTTTCAAGGGTCCTAAAGCCAAGACACCTCTAAGCCTTCCACTGCTGTGACACGGCCGAGGCCCTCGGGGCAACTCACCTGTGCTGAATGCGAGGATCACTCTGCACCAGGGGTAAGATGGCTTCCAGCACTTTGCTGGCTGACCCTGGAAGCATCTCCAGTACCTTCTTATCAATAGCCATTTTGTCCACAATGGTTTTAAAGTATCGCAAGGCACTGACAACTTCCTTCTCTTTCTCTTCCAGCCAGCTCAGGTTCTGAAAGGAAACGTTAAGCATAAGGAGGGAGGAGAGAAATTAAAGGGAGCTATTTTGAAAAAAATAAAATAAAATTTTCTATAAACCAGCTTTAGATTGATGTGAATGAAAAAGGTTTCTTGTTGTAGAAACCAAGCAGATTATTTTTCTAAGGATTGTAATCGGGAGACAGAGGCTAGACCTCAAGGGAGAAGGGGGCTTGGACCAAGAAAGGTCATTTAGTAATTCCTGAGTTCTCATCCTAGACCCTCAGGTCTAGAGAAAACCACTTCTCCTCCTCTCTGTCCTAGTAAGCACCTGAGCTATCACCACTAACTGCATCGAGTGTAGGGAGGGCTGATTTGCTGATGACCTGGAAAAGCAGTAGGCCAATCCCATGGTACACATACATCCGGTAATCAAGAAACCCCAGGGCTTTCTTCCAAAGATCTGAGGGACCGTGCAAGACTGGTCTAGGGCATGAGGGTTCAAAGCCCTTCCCTCGGGACTCCTCACTAGACTCCCACCTTATTCAGCCCAGTGAAGGCCTCTGGATGAAATGACAGGCTGTGCCCAAAGGGCTTGGGAACTCCCAGGGATCGAAAGGGGGACACCCTGGGGTGAAGAGGTGAAGAAGTCAGAGCAGATGGCAATGACTCATGTACTGGCTGCTAACAGCTCTCAGGGTCCCTCTGCTCCTGAGGAAAGACTACCCAAGATGAAAGGAAAATACAGAGCCCTGCACTTTCCATATTCAAAGTACCACCCCTTTCTTCTCCTTGACGTGGGTCCACAGCCAGTGACATGTACACCCTTTTCGTTCCTCCCCCACCTCGCACTAGTCCTGATGTCCACGAGCCAGGTCCAGATGGCAGGCAGGGCAAGCAAAACCAGGAGCAATCTACGGATGGGTGAACGCACAGTGGATGCCAACTCGGGTGAAGCTGATGACATGCCCAGTGCAAATTAACAGGGAGGCGTACATATGAGAAAAACTGCCACCTGTGGGCTCTTTTCAGTCCAGAAAATGTAAGCAATTGAGGGTAAGGAGATAACTTCTAGAAAAAGCTGATTTAAATAATAATCTATAAATGTACAAATAATAGAAATAAAGTGAAAAGTGATTGTGATTCTGAACACTAGCTCTTTTCTAAAATGATGGGGAATGTTATTTTAAATTAAAATAATTCAATAGTAGAGCCTTTTATTTCATGAGACTATCAAGAGAAAAATATATAAATGAATGAGATCATAAAATAGCTACTTCAGTCAGACAACTTTCAAAGACCCAGTGCAGTTTCTCTCAACCGGTACTTCCCAAAAGGTGTTCTCCAGAGCACCCCTCCTCATCCCCTGGAGAGGGGACAGCTGGATCCCTGTGCCCCGGCTTTATGTTTCTCCTTTCACTACTGACGTGTTTATTTCCTACCCACAAGAGGCCAGGTGCTTGTTTCTCCATTCCATGGACAAAAGCTCTCTGTTCCACCACCCCCTGCCCACGGCAGGGAAGAACCTGAGTAAGAAGGAATCGCAGTGCGTGCATACATCAAATGCGCCCAACGCCACGGGCAGTCTGGCAAGAGGAGGACTATGACAATAACACTGCCATTTTGGCATATCAGAAAGTGGCAGAAGCCAGAAATGATGAAACTTAGTGAGGGAAGAGGAAATATTTTAAGAAAAATGTGTCATCAGGTCTGCTAGCCATTGGAAAGGGACAAGGCACTTCAGAGCAAAAAGAGAATTTTCCTGTTGTTGCAGAGAGATCAAGTCAGCTATTTAAGAGCCAGGCTGCCCTCGGCTCCTAATAAAGGAGCCGACAACTTAGCATAGTCATATTGCATCCATTAACTCTCAAATCCCACTCCCAGAATCAATGCCCTCTGAACATTGTGCATCCCCCTAGCCCTTCAGCTGTTAAACTGTGGCTTCTTGCAAAATGCAGCCCACAAAGAGTTTATAGTGACACACCTATACCCAGCACCAGCCAGAACTTGGGACTGGATGCCTTGGCTTTGCTAAAATGGCCTGGCTGCATAACCTGAGAGGCAGATGCATCCACCTGCACAGCCCTCCTGCTGTGGGGATGAGTTGCCACCACTGGTTCACATAAGCCTGGAAACTAAACAAAACTTTCTGTGCCTGGGAAGGGCCTAGACACAAGGTCAACTGCTGGACATGGGGCTTGTCATTCAAACGGGAAAAATAATACTGGCCCTGTGTCACCAAAGAGGTAAATGTGGGGACTGAATGAGATGCAAATGAAAGTGGTGCATCAACTTAACAGATGCTCCGCCAACATCAGAGGCTGTGTATCTGTTAATAATAAAGCCAAGAAAGAGAACAAAAGATGTACAGCTCTGAAAGGGAAAGAAAGAGGCCAGATTATTGCTACCACTCATCAGGGACTTCTAGTCACCCACTGTGTTATGTATTTTATACACTTTGTTTCATTTAAGGGTTACAACCACCATATAAAGTAGATACTACTATTTCACAGGTGAGAAAACTGAGGCTTCATGGGGACCAGGGAGGTTAAGCAATCTGCCCAAGGTCACACAGCTGTGGTAAAGGAAATGGAATTTGAACTTTGTTAGATTACAGAGCCTGGGCAGATGGAGAGGAGAAAAAAGATCAATCAGAAATCTACTATAAGAAGTAAAATAATTTACTAGAGATCCCCTGGTCTAAAGCTCTATTCAATGAATCAGTAAAATGAGGCAGAGATGGCAGAGATGGACAGAAAACTTCTACCGGCTTTCCTGCCTGTGGGGCTGTAATCATAAGGGACACTGGGGCTGCTGCTTCGCTGCTATATGCCACTATGCTGGCTCTGGAGGAGAGGGAAGTGAGGGAAAACTGGTCCTCGTCTTCAGACACTTCTCTCATAAGAGCAAAGTAGCATCTAGGGCAACCCCAACCTGCCTTTTCCCCCTTGTCTCAGCACGGGGCCTGTCTGCTCCACAGCAGAGGACAGTGAACACACAAATCTGGGCTAAGCCTGGGGGAGTGAGGAGGAAAGCAAATCACAAACAGTGTAATAAACCACTTAAATCACAGGATGTTTTAAAAGGCAACGCAACATTATTATTCTTCGTTGGACCAGAACGGTGAGGTCTAGCAAGAAGACGCGTTTAACACAGAGATCAGGTACAGCAGGCACGCCCATCACCGCCCACCACCCCGCTCTCCGGCAGCAGCATCTCCTGCTTATATTTCATGAGATGTTGAAAGCAGAAAAGGAGCGGCTTTCAGAAGTCTACTCAGCAAGCCCCCGGATCTAACCCTCTGTCCACATGCCCTCAACGAGGGAGGACTCACACCTCCCAGGTCATTCTGGACTGCGCTAACTGTAACTATGCCGGGACTCCCAGAATGTGGCTAAATGTTCTCCACTACTTTAACACCCTGCAGCTCACTGCTAGGCTTGTTTAAAAGTTGCAAAAAAAGTTTATAAATTCACTACAGTGTACTCTGAATTTTAAAATTCAACTGAGAAGATGTAAGAGACTACTAATAGTAGTCTGGAAAGACAACTAAACATAGTGGGAAAACCAGATTTCAACTAAGAAAACTTGAGCCAGAGCCAACGCTGTCTGCACAGTGGGAATAATAAAAGCTTTCCCGCATAGTCATGGTGAGGAGTAAATAAGACAGCATTCGTGAAACCACCCAGGACAGGCCCTGTGCAAAGAGAACCCTCAATCAGTGGCAATGAATCTGAATCTGTACTTCTACCTCCCTGTGCTTCAGTCTCCCATGTATTTAAACAGAGAAAGCCATGTATACAACTTGGGATAAAGCGAGAAGGTATGTAAATGCTCCCTTAAGTGAGAGCGAATGAACAGAAAATGAGGACAGCAGGTGACAGATCTATGGCAAGGTTTCTCGACATAATCCTCTGAGTCCACATGCTCTGGCAGATTCCCCAACATTTCCAGTTCTGTCTGTGGGCCTCCTCTAAGCAACATCTACTTTGTCCCACGAAGGTGACTTGGGGCAGGGCACAATAATCCAACCCTTCTTAAAGGGCAATTACCAAAAAAGGGCAACACTCCTTCTTGGTAGAAGATCACATCTACAGCTTCTTGCCACAGAACAGGTCTCTCAGCCTCAGCAATACTGACATTTTGGGGCAGACAATTCTTTGTTTTGGGGAGATGTCCTGTATTATTGTATGATGTTTACCTGCACCCTGGGTTCCTACCCACTAGATGCCAGTAGCGCCTGCTTCACCCTCCCACTGTGACGACCCAAACTGTCTCCAGACAGTGCCAAGTGTCCCCTGGGGCTTGCTGGTGCCCTACCAAGTCAACGTACTCTAGCATCATGTTTTCTTCTATAACCTCTTCTGGAACAGTGAATAAAAGGAAAACAATCCAAGAATTGAGTGGCTGAACAGTTTCACATCAGAGTTCACCAGCAGAACAAAGCTGTTAGTAAATCATTTTATTCTGAACTGCCTGGGCTAGTGTTAGAGGAGTTAGCTCCGTGGAGTTTAATATTAAACTCAGCTCCAAGAGATTGCTAAACAGATTGTAATAAAAAATAATTGTGATAACAACTATTATGTACCATAATAATTAAAAACACAAAATCGTGGCACTGACCAAATCTTCTACTTTATTACTCTCCTTCCATCTGGCCAACACTGACTGTCTGCCTCCTCCTCTTCGGCCTCCTGTACTTAACAGATGGGGTGGGAAAAACTTTTTCAATGGAAGATTTTTGGATTTAAAACGTTTATTTTTTTCTACTTTTCACTAGAATTTTAAGATATTCTGCTGGTCAACATAAAAACCAACTAAGATAAATTGCAGCATTCAAGAATTCGGTGTTTACCTGCACTCGAATGTTTATAGCAGCACAATTCATAATTGCAAGGCTGTGGAAACAGCCCAAGTGTCCATCAATCCAAGAATGGATTAATAAAATGTGGTATATGTATACCATGGAGTACTATTCAGCTCTAAGAAACAACGGTGATATAGCACATCTTATATTTTCCTGATTAGAGCTGGAACCCATACTACTAAGTGAAGTATCCCAAGAATGGAAAAACAAGCACCACATATACTCACCAGCAAACTGGTATTAACTGAGCAGCACCTAAGTGGACACATAGGTACTACAGTAATAGGGTATTGGGCAGGTGGGAGGGGGGAGGGGGCGGGTATATACATACATAATGAGTGAGATGTGCACCATCTGGGGGATGGTCATGCTGGAAACTCAGACTTGTGGGGGGAGGGAGGGGAAAGGGCATTTATTGAAACCTTAAGATCTGTACCCCCATAATATGCCAAAATAAAAAAAAAAAAGAATTCGGTGTTTAAACAACAAGGTGGTGTTTGCCAGTTGCATTATGTTGACAGATGTGACAACAGTCTACTACACAGAAGCTACGCTCTGGATAATCACTAAAGGATTAAGGACCTATTGTCCACGAGGCTTGTTTTTATTTTAATAAGTTTAGTTTTATGTACAGTAGTGAGCTGGGATTAATATTTAGATGTGTGAGATATTAAATCAATTCTGTCTTTCATAAAGAAGAAATGTAGCATCTCAAGAATTCAGACTCTGACGTCAGACAGACTGCGCTCAAATCTTGACTACACCACAGTTTTACTGTTTCACTTTGGCTAAACGCTATAATATCTCTATAGATTCAGTTTCCTTTTCAGCAAAGTAGGTTTTCATCACCTGTCAGTGTTGTTATGAAGATAAGAGAACACGTGTAAAGCACTTAGCAATGGGCCAAGAATGTAAACGTAACGGTAAACTTTAGCGACACAGAAGGTGTCCCTGGCTCTGAGAGCACTTGGTTACGTGGCAGTCTCATCACACTCCTTGCAAGATATCTGAGTGAGCACTCTAAGGCTCTAGAAGCCCTTCCCCTTCTCAACTATTCAGATCATCTTAGAGATTCAAGGAAAGAACAGCTGGTCTTGAGGGATGAGACTTACCCACTTCCCCCTGGAACCCGTTGGACCCAAGCAGCACACCCAGACCAACCCCAGAAAGAAGCCCCAAGCTTTTGCCACAGAGCACGGAGCTCTCTCCAAAGATCATGAGAGCTTGGATAAACTCTCACTTTTATCCAAGGCCCCTTGGACTCTTTTTTTTTCTCGACAATTCAGCCCATAGTCGCCCCCCAATAGAACACAATGGTATTGCAATAGATTTTTTCCATCCCCAAAACCATGGGCCAGGATTCTGAAGTAGAAGGCAAGGCAAACCCAATTGTTCTTAATGTCACACTGACCTTCTGCCTTTGAGACCTGGAAGCCACAGCACTGGTGGACATAAATTCTACTGCCTGCTGCTCCAGATCCAAGGGGATAGGGTAGCCCTCTGGTAGAAATCTGTCTGTTGCCTCCTGGAAGAGAGGAAACCTGGATTCCTACAGAGCTTGAAATGGCCGTTTTAGGCTAAAAGGAGGGGTTGATGAAAATCAATAGCTGTTCCGACATATCTGGCTTGACTGGCCCTGCTGAGCTTACTAGAACTTGAGGACATCTCTGCCAGGTTTCAAGGGGTTTGCACGTTTCAGAGCACTGGCCCTAAAGCCGAATGGTGGACGTTCTCTGGACATAACAAACTTCCCTGGTTCCAGTGTGCGCCAGGGCAACAGGGGGAACTCTGGGGCAGGGAGGCAGCATCCTGGGCTGTGAACATAAGTGCTGAGCTGGTTTAAATGCCTAGGGGATGACACAGCTGGAAAAGAACTGTGCTAGCCAACTGAGCTTGACTCTAATTAACATGGCAGACACTGACCATCCTAATGGTTATTTCACAAGGCCCCACCTGGAACCATGGAATGCTATGGAATGATGTTAGGTATGATGTACGCAAGGCTCAATTCCCAGGGAGCGAACATACAACCAGCACAGACTTATACTGCTCAAAGCAGGTGAGGCCAGGAGAAACACCTGGAGAGAGTCAGCTTACTTTGTTCACAGGCTTCTCTGGAATCTTCACAGACACCTCAGCTGGTTTTCCCTTCTTTGACGGCGTTCTCTTGATTTTAGGCGAGTGGAATTTGTCCATCAGCTTCATGGTGAAGGAAGAGAGATGAGATCGCTGAGAGTCTGAAAACAAAGAGGGTACTGATTGTTAGAGGGCAGAATGAGAAGAAGAATGGTTCACTGACCTTTTGTGGAAATGAGCAATGTCCCCAAACCAATCTTTTTTCCTGGCTGTTCGAAGTTTCAAAGGTAGGGAAATACGGATCCATGAAAACATCTCTGTTCCCATGTTTCAATTTTTGCAATTTCCATCTATATTAGGTGGTTCAGAATTGTGGAAATCAGAGGCAGTCCAATAAATATGGAAAAAGAACTTGCAAATATTTCCAAATGTCCTTAGAGAATCCATATGATGATCTAACCAACATCCAAGGGAACTAGCTAAGAAGAAAGAATACCAAGTACAATCACAGAAGCACAGGATGTAAGAACTGAAAAGGAAGGCCCTTTCGAATCATCCTCCTCATTCTTTGGTTTAGGAAACTGCAACAAGTGACATGTGCAAGGCTCCACAGATGGAAGGGGCGACTAAACTAGAGGTAAGGTGTTCAAAATCCTCTGGACCTTGCTGAAAGACTGAACGATTTCCCCCTAAGGTCAGGAACAAGACTATGATGTCTATTCTTGCTATTCCTATTTGATGTTGTACTGGAGGTTCTTGTGGGGCAATTAGATATGAAAAAGAAATAAAAGGCAACCAGACTGGAAAGGAAATGTATCTCTATTTGGAGATGACATGATCTTATGCATGGAAATTCCCAAGCAACCCACCAAAAAATTATTAGTACCAACAAACAAATTCAGGTGTAAGGTGACAGGATACCAGAACAATGTACAAAAATCAATTGTATTTCTATATGATAGCAATGAACATTACAAAATAAAATTTCAAAAAGCTTCCATTTACAGTATCAAAAATAATAAATAAAATACACAAGTATAAATTTAATAAAAGAAATGCAAGACACACTGAAAACTACAAAATATCGTTGTGAGAAATTAGAGATAATCTAAATAAATGGAAAGACATCCTCTGTCATGGATCAAAAGGTGGATATTGTTAAGATGGCAATACCACCCAAATTGATTTACACATTCAATGTAATCCCTATTAACAATCCCAGCTGGCTGTTTTTTTTGCAGACATCAACAATCTAATCCTAAAATTAGTTTGGAAATACAAGAGACCCAAATAGCCAAAACAATCTTGAAAAAGAAGAACAAAGTTGGAGGATTCACACTTCTCAATTTAAAAACTACCACAAAGCCACACTAACCAAGACAGTGTGATACAGGCATAGGGACACATAGATCAATAGAATAGAACTGAGAGTCCAGAAATAAACCCATGTGTCTATGGCCAACTGATTTTCAACAAGGGTATCAAGACCATTTGACAGAGGAAAGAATAGTCTTTTCTTTTCCAGTGCTTGGACAACTGGATAGTCATGTGCAAAAGAATGAATTTGGGCCCCTATCTCACACTATACACAATAATGAACTCAAAATGGATCAGACCTAAATGTAAGAGTTAAAATTATACTACTCTTAGAGAAAACAAAGGAGTTTTTGTGACCTTCGATTTGACCATGTTTTCTTAGATACAACACCATACGCACAAGAAACAAAAGAAAAAAATAGATAAATTGGACTTCATCAAAATTAAAAACTTTTGTGCTACAAATGCTACTACCAAAAAGTGAAAACACAACCCCACAGGATAGGAGAAAACACAGTAATGCCTTGCTCACGAGGGGAATACATTCTGAAAAATGCACCATTGTTGTGCAAATGCCATAGAGTGTACTTACACAAACCTAGACGGTACAGCCTACATATACCTAGGCTATGTGTTATAGCCTATTGTCCCTAGGCTACAAACCCATACAGCATGTTATTGTCCTTAATACTCTAGGCAAGTATAACACAATGGTAAGTATTTGTGTATTTAAACATAGAAAAGGTACAGTAAAAATACGTATAAAAGATAAAAATTGGTACATCTATATAGGGCACTTACCATGAATGGAGCTTGCAGGACTGGAAGTTGCTCTGGGTGAGTCAGTGAGTAAATGAATTGTGAGTGAATGTGAAGGCCTACGACAGACATTACTGTATATTACTACAGACTTTATAAACACTGAACACTTAGGCTATACTAAACCTATAAAAAATAATTTTTCTTTCTTCAACCATGAATTAACCTAAGTTTACTATAACTTTTTACTTTATAAACTAAATTTTTAAACGTTTTTACGCTTTCATAATAACACTTAGCTTAAAACACAACACATACAGCTTTACAAAACTACTTTCTTTATATCCTTATGCTAAAAGCTTTTTTCTATTTTTAAAATATTTTGGTTCTTTACTTTTCAAACATTTTTGTTAAAAACTAAGACATGAACACATATATTAGCCTAGGCCCAGAGAGGTCAGAATCATCAACATCACTGTCTTCCACCTTCACATCTTGTTCCACTGGAAGGTCTTCCAGAGCAGTAAACATGCTTGGAGCTGTCGTCTCCTATGGTAACAATACTTTTTCTGGAACACCACTTGAAGAACCTGCCTAAGACTCTTTTGTTACAATTAACTTAAAAAATATATACATTATTGGCCGGGTGCGGTGGCTCACGCCTGTAATCCTAGCACTCTGGGAGGCCTAGGTGGGCGGATTGCTGGAGGTCAGGAGTTCGAAACCAGCCTGAGCAAGAGCGAGACCAGTCTCTACTATAAATAGAAATTAATTGGCCAACTAATATATATAGAAAAAAAAAAATTAGCCAGGCATGGTGGTGCATGCCTGTAGTCCCAGCTACTCGGGAGGCTGAGGCAGCAGGATTGCTTGAGCCTAGGAGTTTGAGGTTGCTGTGAGCTAGGCTAACGCCACTGCACTCACTCTAGCCTGGGCAACAAAGTGAGACTCTGTCTCAAAAAAAAAAAAAATACTATACATATAGTAAATAGATAAACCAGTAACAGCTGTTTAATATCATTATCAAGTATTACGTACTGTACCTAATTATATGAGCTATACTTTTATACAACTGGTAGCACAGTAGGTTTGTTTACACCAGCTTCACCACAAACATGTGAGTAATGCACTGCCCTACGATGTTATGATGGCTAAGACACCACCAGACAACAGGAATTTTTCAGTTCCATTATAACCTATGGAACCATCATGATATATGTGGTCCAGCATTGACCAAAATGTTGTTATTTGGCACATGATTATATCTGTAAATCACACACAGTCACCATCAGTATCTTTAGGTGATTAGTTTCAGGGCCTCCATCAGATACCAAAATCCATGGATGCTCAAGTTCTTTATATAAAATCGTATAGTATTTGCACATAACCTATGCACACTATCAGTATACTTTAAATTGCCTTTAGATTACTTATAATACCTAACACAATGTAAACGCTATGTAAATAGTTGTTGTAATCTATTTTAAAATTTGTCTTCTTTATTGTTATATTGTTTTTTTGTTCCAAGTATTTTTTATCGGAGATTGGTTGAATCAGACGATGCAGAACCTGTAGCTATGGAGGGCAGATTATATATGATAAGGGACTTATATACAGAAAATATGAAGAACTCTTACAATTCAGTAATAAAAGACAAATCACCCAATTTAAAATGGGCAAAGAATTTGGATTGAATTCTTCTCCAAAGAAGATATACAAATTGGCAACAAAGCACATGAAAAAATGATAAACATATTTAGTCATTAGGGAAATGTAAATCAAAACCACAATAAGTTATCAATTCATGCCCACTAGGTATAATCAGAGAAGATTAAAGACAGAGTGTTGCTGAGGACTGGAGAAACTGGAATCCCCATACATGGCAGGCAGAAATGTAAAACAGTGCAATTGCTTTAGAAAACGCTGGGCAATTCCTCACAAGATCAAACACAGAGCTACCATATGACCCAGGACTTCCACTCCTGGACATGTCCCCAAGGGAAATGAAAACATACATCCATGTGACTTATACGGGTACGTTCAAGGAAAAGTTCATAGCAATATTATTCATAGTGGCCAAAAGGTGGAAACAATTGAAATGTCCAAATTTCCAGGAATGACAAAATAAAATGTGCTGTATATCCACACAATGGAATATCATTTGGCAATAAAAAGAAATTACGTACATGCCACAACCTGGCTAAACCTTGAAAATATCATGCTAAGGAAAAGCAGTCAGCCACAGAAGACCACGTTGTATGACTCCATTTATTTGAAATGTCCAAGTATTGGTGGGTGCCTAAGACTGGAGGGGGCAGAGAGAGGGATGCAGAGTGATTGCTAGTGAGTATGGGGTTTATTCTGATAGGGGACAAACATATTCTAAAATCAGAATCTGGTGATGACTGCACAACTCAGTGCATTACTAAAAAAACACTGGATTGTTTACTTTAAATGAGTGAATTGTATGACATGTGAATTATATTTCAATAAAGCTGTTAAATAAACCAAAACCCACTGGGCAGTCTTCCTTCATCTCACCATTTACCACAACAACTTCCAGTGTCTGAAATCATCTTGCTAATTGATTTATGTTTATCTCCTCACAAGAATGCAAGCTCCCTGAGGACCTTACCTGTCTTGTTCATGCCTGTCTTCCCAGGGCTTACATGGTACCTGGCCCATCGAAGATGCTGAGCGAACATTCATTCAACAAATGAACAAATCAACCACCACCAAAAACAAACAAACAAAAAAACAGGAAGAGGACTACTTATTGTGGTAACAGAAATTCATAGAATATACTTGAAATTGTCTAAAAATTATGGAACACTATCCTATGCAATGGACAAATAATACCTGTAGTGTTAAAAATAAAAAGCACTCCCTCTGTCAATTTTTTTTAGCAATTTAGTACTAAAAAAAAATAGTACCTTGTACATATAGCACCTTGTACTTTAGGGCTGTCACTGTGTCTACCATTGTTGCATGTGACTTAATAAGACCAAAGTCTTATTTGTCAAAAACCTCCCAGGTGCCAGACAGGATGGGATAAACTATCTACCCCTTTCGCAACTATCTAGGA